ACGATCTCCCGCATAGCCTGTAACCCGCTAACAACACTTGCCCCAACAAAGACACACTCACACACTCACTGTCACGTGTAGGAACAACCGCGGAACCATCAAATCATCGCAACAGCGACGAGTCGTATTCCCGAAAATACCGCGCTCCTCAAATCGGATGTCCGACCCGGCCCTTTCACGAACACAAACGAGCAGTAGAAGTTCGTCTCAAAAGACAAATAATACAAAGATCCCCCGTGCAGCCTAAACGGACTGCTGGGGCAAGTGCTGTTAGCGAGTCGCACCTATGAAGGCAGGAACGACACACGAGGTGGTGGGTGGCCGGCAACCATGAGCGGCGATGATTTTTACTACACACACCGCACCGGGTACTCATTTGAGGCCGAGTCGACCTAGGGGGGAGGCCCAGATCATCGTCACCGGTGTTGGCCGTGAGCGGGAATCGGGTTCGTATGGCGCGACGCGTCTCATGCACACAACAACAACAACGCGCGCGTGGTAATCAAACGTGGTTGTTGTTGCTGTTGCTGCTGTTGCTGCTGCTAAAACCGGAACGAAAATCAGAAGCAAACCCCGAAAATAAATCGCGCGATGAGAAGACACATATATTTGCGACGCCCCACGGCGTGACAAAGACCATCGCTGTTGTTTAGAAGACTCGAGTCAACGCGAAGTCTGCCTCCGACTTGGAGCGTGATCAGCAAACAGCATCTCAAAGTGCCGTGCGTTTATTTTAGTTTCACGGTTAAGGGCAAGACGGCTATTGGATATAGACCTTGCCTGAATTAAAACTCACACCACCACCACCACCACCACGCCTAACCGAGGAGTTCAACTTGGCCTGTTTGTAAGACTCGAGTCAACACGAAGTTTGCCTCCGACTCATAGATGTGCGAACATCATCTCAAAGTGCTGTGCGTTTATTGTTGCTGCGCGGTCATCGTCAAGACGTTTGTTCGCGAGACATTTGCACGAAAGAAAACTCACACAGCCACCACCACCACACCGACGAGTTCGACTTTTAAACACCACGGGATCTGTGCGTCTAAAGTCCGCTGTTTATCGTACGCGCAACGCAACCATCGCTGCTGTTACTGCTCATGATGCTGTCACTTGCCGACTGCGGCGGGCGAACATGTTGACAAAGTTCGGAGTATCCCTTTGGTATAACAACACTCAGCACACAACTACGCACGCGGTGCAGTGTGTAGTGTGGTGTGGTGCAGTGTGTGTGTGGTGTGTGGCGTGGTGAGTAAATGTACAAGTGGAGCGGTATTCGCGTGCCACGTCCGCTGGCGCGTGGGGGGTGAAGAGGGAAAAGCGGCGAAAATGTCGCGCCGCGCGGGCTCGCAGTGGCCTCTCTGTCTCTCTCTCTCTCGCGGGAGAAGTTCTCTTTGGTGGTGGTGTGGTTGTTGTGGTTGTTGTTGTGGTTGTTGTTGTGGTTGTTGTTGTGGTTGTTGTGCGTAGCGGCAGCATCGCGCGCGAGTCTCCCCCGAGAGGCGTGAAACGAGAACCCCGACGACTCCGCCATTTTCTCGACGCGAAAACTCCCGAAAGGGGAAAAGCAGCGAACTTGCCGGGGGCGCGCAGAGAGAGACACAAGTTTGGTGACACACACACAGAGACACACACACACAGACACACACACAGACACACACACAGAGACAGACACACACAGACAGACAGAGAGACACAGACAGACAGAGAGAGAGAGACATAGACACACACACAGAGACACACACACACAGACACACACACAGACAGAGAGACACAGACACACAGACAGAGAGACACACACAGACACAGACCGAGAGACAGACACACACACACAGACCGAGAGACAGACACACACACACAGAGAGACAGACACACACAGACAGACACAGAGAGACAACTTAGGTGACACACAGAGACAGACACACACAGAGACATACACAGACATTCACACAGGAGCACGCACATACACAGGAAGACGACACACAAATACAGAGGCACACAGACACACACAGGCGCATACAGTGGTAAATACACACAGAGAGACACGCACTGAGACAGAGAAACAGACACACAGACAGGGAGACACACACACAGACACATTCACACAGGGGCACGCAAAGATACATACGAAGACGACACACAGATACAGACACACACTGACAGATACATACACACAGGCGCATACACAGACACACACACAGAGACACAGACAGACACACATACATACATAGATACATAATGAAGACGACACAAATACAGACAAAGACAAAGATCCCCCGTATAGCCTGAACAGACTGTAGGGGCAAGTGCTGTTAGCGAGCACCTAATACAGACGCACACTCACATACATGCATACATGCACAGATGCACAAACACACGGACACACAGGCAGACACACAGTCACACGCGGACGCAGACACATGCGTACACACAGGAGCACACACACAAACATTCAAAGACACGCAAACACAGACACACTTGCACACAGATACATGCACACACAGGCGCATACACACACAAACGCACATACATCGACACACCGATACACACAAACACACACACATAGCCACAAAGACTGACACACAGACACACAAAGATACATAAAGTCCCCCCCCCCGTATAGCCTGAACAGACTGTAGGGGCAAGTGCTGTTAGCGAGCACCTATGAAGGCCGGCACGGCACACGAGGGGGTGGGTTGCCAGAACCACGCCCGACCGCCTTTGTCTCCCCAGTAGCGATGTTTACTACACACCGCACCAGATACTCATTTGAGGCCGAGTCGACCTAGAGGGATGAGGCCCAGGACCGGTTCAGATAATCGTCGGCGCTTTTTGGCGGCCGCGAGCGGGAATTCGAACTCGGGTCGCCGGGTTCGTAGCGCAGCGCGCTAACCGCAGCACCACCGCTCCCGAGCGCACGACACTACCACGCAGACGCACACACAAAGGCAAAGATCCCCCGCCTAGCCTTGGCAGACTGTTGGGGCAAGTGCTGTTACAGCTCACACTGACACACACACACACGCGTGTGTGTACACCCTCCCGTGTGTGTTCACTGCGCGCTCGGCTGTGTCCGCGTTGACCCACAAGCTCCGTAGATATTTTATTTTAATTTATTTCATGCCGGGGAAATCGGAGGTTCTAACCACCACCACCCTCTCTCTCCAACTCTCACACCCCCCCCCCCGCCTGCTCTATGCCGACCTTTGAGACGGACACTGGTGTGTGAATATCAATGCACTGGCACCACCACCACTACCACTACTACCACCACCATCACCACGATTGTCACCCACACAGAGACGCACAAGCGATGATGGCGAGCGCGGGCGACACTCAACCAAAAACAAACAACGACGACGATGACGAATCCCGTGGGCTCGGGTAGCCCATGCACAGCAGCAGGCAACGACGACGACATCGACCACCACCACAAGGGACGCCGCAAATTTGCTGCGAACGCGTGAGAATTGTAGAAGCTGCAATGCGCGATCGAGGGGTGAGGCACCGAACGCACGCGATCGTGCACACACTCACAGTCACACTCACGCACTCACACACACTCGCATACACACACACAGTCACACTCACACACTCACACAGTCACACTTACACACACGCGCACACACACTCACACACAGTCACACTCACACAGTCACACTCTCACACACACTCACACACACACAGTCACACTCACACACACACAGTCACACTCACACTCACACACACACTCACACACTCACACACAGTCACACACTCACACACAGTCACACTCACTCGCATACACTCACAGTCACACTCACACGCACACACACACAGTCACACTCACGCACTCACACTCACGCACTCACACACACACACACAGTCACACTCACGCACTCACACTCACGCACTCACACTCACACACTCACACTCACGCACTCACACTCACGCACTCACACTCACGCACTCACACTCACGCACTCACACACTCACACACACAGTCACACTCACGCACTCACACTCGCACTCACACGCACAGTCACACACACAGTCACACACACAGTCACACGCACACACACTCACACAGTCACACTCACGCACTCACACACGCACACAGTCACACACACACACTCACACACACACACACAGTCACACACACACACAGTCACACACACTCACAGTCACACACACACTCACACAGTCACACACACACACTCACACAGTCACACTCACGCACTCACACTCGCACTCACACACACTCGCACTCACACACACTCGCACTCACACACACTCGCGCTCACACAAACCAGTCACACACACACACGGTACCGTGCGCGCACAACACAACCACCATCGCCAACACAACAACAACACACACCACACACAACACGTGCGCGCGCACAACACAACACCCGCCAGCATTGTCCATCCGCGACCACAGTGGTTGGTGGTGGTGGTGTTGGTGGTGATGATGGAGGGGGGCGGAGAGAGACGCAAGCGACGCGGACAGAGAAGAGGGAGACGACCAGCGGGCTCCCTGGCTCGGGTCTCTACCCACTCGGGGGGGGGGGCGGGGGTGGGTGATGGTGGCGGTGTTGGCAATCACCGCTCGCACCACTCCGCCCAGCGCCACCACCACCACCACAACAACAACAATCATCATCATCACAGCAGCAGCGAGACCGCCTCCCTCCCTGCTGCCTGCCTGCTCCATCTCGCTATCTCGCTCTCTACGTCGCGTGCATTCACGCCACGCAGCCATCTTGGAACAGCCCCGCGCGAGCGCAGAGACCGACGAGGAGTCACCGCGACTCCTCGGACCCCCCCCCCCCTCTACACCCCCTCCTCCTCCTCGCTGCCGCCCGTCACCGCGACGCCTTCCACGGCGGCCCCCCCTTCCTCGGGTGGGGGGCACCCCCCCCCACAGACCCCCCCCCCCCACACAGACCCCCCCCCACACAGACCCCCCTACCCCCCCCCTCCTGCGTGCCCCCTCCGCAGTGGCGGCGTTCCGCGCTCACCTCGCGCGTTTTTGTCCTCCTCTGGCGAAGAAGGGCTCCTCCTGCTGCTGCTCCTACTGCTCCTACTCCTGCTGCTGCTCTTCCTATTCCTCCTGCTGCTGCTGCTACTGCTGTATCTGATGCTGCTACTGATGCTCTTGCTCCTGCTCCTGCTGCTGTGTGCGCACGGGCGGCATCAGCGGCGGCAACGACGACGACGGTGATGATGGTGATGCTGTCTCTCTCTCTCGTGTGTGTGGTGGTGGTGGTGCGAGAGGGAGGAGAGAGGGAGGAGGAGGAGGGGAGAGAGAGAAAGGGGGAGGAGAGAGACGGAGCGAGGAGGAGGAGGAGGAGGCGGCGGCGACCGTGCGCGGTGCACGGGGAGGAGGATGAGGAGGTGCGTGCCGCGGCTGCTGCTGCGGCTGCGTTCGGCTGGTGGGCGGGTTGGGGAGGCGTGGGGGGTTGGTGGCGATGCTGGGGAGGGGAGGGGAGGGGGGTGGATGTCCGGGGGGGGGGGGGTGTGTGGGGCACCACGCGGTGGGGTTCATCCCCCACCCCCCCCGGCCAGCCCCGCCCCGCCCCGCGAAGCCCTGCCCGCTGCTGCTGCTGATGATGATGAGGCCGCGCCGGTCACGTGCTCACACGACTCCCCCCCCTCCTCCTCCTCCTCCCAGAGAACTCCCCTCGAACACCGCCCAACCCCTTCTCGCACCCCCCTCCACCCATCCCACTCGCCCCCCTCTCCACCCCTCCCACTCGCCCCCCCCTCCACCCCTCCCACTCGCCACCCCCTCCACCCCTCCCACTCGCCCTCCCCTCCACCCCTCCCACTCGCCCCCCCCTCCACCCCTCCCACTCGCCCCCCCCCTCCACCCCTCCCACTCGCCCCCCCCTCCACCCCTCCCACTCGCCCCCCCCCTCCACCCCTCCCACTCGCCCCCCCCTCCACCCCTCCCACTCGCCCCCCCCTCCACCCCTCCCACTCGCCCCCCCCTCCACCCCTCCCACTCGCCCCCACCAACCCAACACCCCCCCCCCCACGCGCGCCTCTCGGCTCCGCGTCCGATGCCTGCTTCTCGCGGGGAGTGAAGCGTGGTGCCACGATCTGCTGCTCCTAGCCCCGTTCACGAGCTCCTAGCCTCATTCATGAGCTCCTAGCCCCGTTCATGAGCTCCTAGCCCCGTTCATGAGCTCCTAGCCCCGTCCACGAGCTCCTAGCCCCGTTCACGAGCTCATAGCCCCGTTCATGAGCTCCTAGCCCCGTCCGCGAGCTCCTAGCCTCATTCATGAGCTCCTAGCCCCGTCCACGAGCTCCTAGCCCCGTTCACGAGCTCATAGCCCCGTTCATGAGCTCCTAGCCCCGTCCGCGAGCTCCTAGCCTCATTCATGAGCTCCTAGCCCCGTTCATGAGCTCCTAGCCCCGTCCGCGAGCTCCTAGCCCCGTCCACGAGCTCCTAGCCCGAACGGCCGCAGAGAAGAGCCACTCCGCGGTTGTTCATGCGGCTGCTGCTGCTGTTGTTGTTGAACAGCGTTGTTGTTGTTGTTGTTGAACAGCGTTGTTGTTGTTGTTGAGCAGCGTTGTTGTTGTTGTTGAAAAGCGTTGTTGTTGTTGTTGAGCAGCGTTGTTGTTGTTGTTGCCTGCTGTGGTGGTAGCTCTGAACCTGTGAGAGGCCTCCCCACTCAGCACACGCACGGACAACGCGTGCACGTGATCGGCACGACCTTCATAGGTACTCGTGAACAGCACTTGCCCCAGCAGTCTGTTTGAGGCTATCCGGGGGATATTCCCACCACGGCTTGCTGTGTATTTTATCTTCATCGTTATTGTTGTGATTCAAATTATTATTGATTATCCCGGGTGCGGACGATAACGAACATATGTTGCCGCTATGGTGCGGGCGGGGGTTCTTGTTATTGTTGTTGTTGGTGCGCGCACATTTGCGGCGCGCGGAGGCGAGAGAGAGATTGCAGGAGGAGCGAGCGAGAGAGAGCGAGCGAGTAAGAGCGAGATGGCGAGAGAGAGAGAGCGAGTAAGAGCGAGTAAGAGCGAGATGGCGAGAGAGCGAGGCCTTGCGCTGCATGCAAATGCGGGGGGGGAGGCAGACACCAGCGTCGCGTTCCGAGCACCGAGGAATCGCGCACGCACCGCCCCTCGGCCAAAGCTGCTGCTGCTGCTGCTACTGCTGCTGCCCCCGCTGCCGCCGCTGCTGCTGCTGTACAAGCGGCGTGGTTGTTGCACAACGCGAGACGCGAACGGGCGAGCGAGCGGGCGAGGCTTTGAGCCACACAAAGGAGGGCGACGAAAGAGATTCCTCGCCGCTCTTTGCCGCCGCACACGCGGCAACATCTCACACGCGGCAACATCTCACACGCGGCAACATCTCACACGCGGCAACATCTCACACGCGGCAACATCTCACACGCGGCAACATCTCACACGCGGCAACATCTCACACGCGGCAACATCTCACACGCGGCAACATCTCACACGCGGCAACATCTCACACGCGGCAACAGACAAAGATGATGCCACGCGTAGCCTTCGACGGAGCGGTCACGGCAAGTGCTGCTGGCGGAGTGGTGGTCGGCACCAGGCCCGGCCGCCTTTGTCTCCCCAGTGCCGATGATCACGACGCACCGCGCGCCACGTGCTCGTTTAAAGGCACGCGAGTCGAACTGGTTGGCCGCGCCGGTGCGCTAACCGCTGCGCCACCGCTCCCCACTCACGGCACCGGCGTGTGTGTATATATACACACACACGTGTATATGTGTGTGTAGGTGTACACACACGTGTGTATGTGTGTGTAGGTGTACACACACGTGTGTATGTGTGTGTAGGTGTACACACACGTGTGTATGTGTGTGTAGGTGTACACACACGTGTGTATATGTGTAGGTGTACACACACGTGTGTATGTGTGTGTAGGTGTACACACACGTGTGTATGTGTGTAGGTGTACACACACGGGTGTGTATGTGTGTGTAGGTGTACACACACACGTGTGTATGTGTGTGTAGGTGTACACACACGTGTGTATATGTGTAGGTGTACACACACGTGTGTATGTATGTGTAGGTGTACACACACGTGTGTATGTGTGTAGGTGTACACACACGGGTGTGTATGTGTGTGTAGGTGTACACACACACGTGTGTATGTGTGTGTAGGTGTACACACACACGTGTGTATGTGTGTGTAGGTGTACACACACGTGTGTATGTGTGTAGGTGTACACACACGGGTGTGTATGTGTGTGTAGGTGTACACACACGTGTGTATGTGTGTGTAGGTGTACACACACGTGTGTATGTGTGTGTAGGTGTACACACACGGGTGTATGTGTGTGTAGGTGTACACACACGTGTGTATGTGTGTGTAGGTGTACACACACGTGTGTATGTGTGTGTAGGTGTACACACACGTGTGTATGTGTGTGTAGGTGTACACACACGTGTGTATGTGTGTGTAGGTGTACACACACGTGTGTATGTGTGTGTAGGTGTACACACACGTGTGTATGTGTGTAGGTGTACACACACGGGTGTGTATGTGTGTGTAGGTGTACACACACACGTGTGTATGTGTGTGTAGGTGTACACACACGTGTGTATGTGTGTGTAGGTGTACACACACGTGTGTATGTGTGTAGGTGTACACACACGGGTGTGTATGTGTGTGTAGGTGTACACACACGGGTGTGTATGTGTGTGTAGGTGTACACACACGTGTGTATGTGTGTGTAGGTGTACACACACGTGTGTATGTGTGTGTAGGTGTACACACACGTGTGTATGTGTGTAGGTGTACACACACGGTGTGTATGTGTGTGTAGGTGTACACACACGTGTGTATGTGTGTGTAGGTGTACACACACGTGTGTATGTGTGTGTAGGTGTACACACACGTGTGTATGTGTGTAGGTGTACACACACGGGTGTGTATGTGTGTGTAGGTGTACACACACACGTGTGTATGTGTGTGTAGGTGTACACACACGTGTGTATGTGTGTGTAGGTGTACACACACGGGTGTATGTGTGTGTAGGTGTACACACACGGGTGTGTATGTGTGTGTAGGTGTACACACACGGGTGTGTATGTGTGTGTAGGTGTACACACACGTGTGTATGTGTGTGTAGGTGTACACACACGTGTGTATGTGTGTGTAGGTGTACACACACGTGTGTATGTGTGTAGGTGTACACACACGGGTGTGTATGTGTGTGTAGGTGTACACACACACGTGTGTATGTGTGTGTAGGTGTACACACACGTGTGTATGTGTGTGTAGGTGTACACACACGGGTGTATGTGTGTGTAGGTGTACACACACGGGTGTGTATGTGTGTGTATGTGTACACACACGGGTGTGTATGTGTGTGTAGGTGTACACACACACGTGTGTATGTGTGTGTAGGTGTACACACACGTGTGTATGTGTGTGTAGGTACACACACGGGTGTATGTGTGTGTAGGTGTACACACACGTGTGTATGTGTGTGTAGGTGTACACACACGTGTGTATGCGTGTGTAGGTGTACACGCACGTGTGTATGCGTGTGTAGGTGTACACGTAGAGCGTCTGCACCTGCAGCCGTCACGACGAGAGTGTGTGTAAGTGACGTCGGGTTCAGTGTCATTTTTCGGGCGTGTCCCGACCTTGCCGGGCGGGAGGAGGAGGAGGAATCCGATTAGCTATAAAGCGGCATGTCGATGTCGCAGCAACGACCACTCGCGAACGGAGATCTCGCCGACTCGGGAGCCGACTCGGAGCCACGCCGAGTCGCCTTGAAGACCCCCCCCCCCCCCACCACGTGCCCCCGACTGGAGATCTGGCGGATAAAAACAAAGAGCTTCATGGCTCATCGGATTCCTCCAGCATTAATAACGAACCCGAGTCCGCTATTCTGCGCGCCTTCGCTGCCTCGCGTCCGTCTGTTGCAACTGCATCCCCTAGGTTAACTCGGCCTTAAAACCAGCACCGGCTGGTTATGTGTGTCACTGTGTGTGTGTGTCACTGTGTGTGTGTGTCACTGTGTGTGTGTGTGTCACTGTGTGTCACTGTGTGTGTGTCTGGTGTGTGTGGTTACCACTCGCCACTGGGGCTGTTAAGCCGCATTGGCCATGCGGTCGCTGTCCGGCCTTCATAGGCGCTCGCAAACAACGCTGGGACGCAGCACACCCTGTGTGGTGCAGAGCTCCACAGAGCACGACGCCGGCCTTTGTTTTGTGTTTCTGTGCACGCGTGTCTGTGTGTCACTGTGCACGTGTGTATGTGTGTGTGTCACTGTGTTACTGTGCGTGTGTCTGTGTGTGTCACTGCTGACGTGTGTGTGCCACTGCGTTACTGTGCGTGTCTGTGTGTGTCACTGTGCACGTTTGTGTGCCACTGTGTTACTGTGTTACTG